AAGGTCAAACAAGCAGAAGTTACAGGAATATTGAAGCCAAAATTCTCTTTTCACTTAGCTGCGTTCAATGTTCACACACTCTATCAGACTGGTCAACAAGCTACTTTGAATAGAACCCTTGAAATGTTCAATTTAGATATGTGCTGTGTCTCCGAAACACGCACACAAGACCCTACTTCAATTATCTCTCTGCGTTCTCCGAAACCAACCTCGGCCTCCGACTCAGACGAACTTTCACCATTAGCTTTTAAGGATTGAGGCTCAGCCTTGGTTTCGGAGTTAACAAAGCTCCTGGGCTCAATATGGGAAAGGGAAAAGTTCCAGCTGAGTGGTGTGAGTCGGTCATCATACCGATTTACAAGAAAGGTGATAGATCCTCTTGTTAAAACCATAGAGGAATTAGTTTAATCAACATCGTCTCTAAACTTTTCGCCGGCATCATACTCCGACGATTGTCTGCCGCACGTGAACGGTGCACGCGTGAGAACCAGGCTGGTTTTAGACCCGGTCGAGGTTGTATCGATCACATCTTCACTCTCTGTCAACTTCTGGAGCACCGGCATTCTTTTCGTAGGCCAACCATCTCTGTCTTTCTACATCTGAAAGCGACTTTTGACTCAGTCGACCGCTCTAAACTCTGGTGCTGCATTTCTCTGAAAGGTGTGCCCGAGAAGTCAATTTCAATATTACAATCCCTTTTTACTATTAGCCGGAACCGAGTCCGAGCTTACGGCTTTTTTCGCCCGAGTTCATCACGAAAGTGGTGTTCGTCAGGGTTGCCCGCTCTCTCCTTTTCTATTTAACTTTGTTAAAGACCTGATTATGGAAACAGCCGTATCCTCGTACGAGGATAGTGGCATCGATTTACTTCCAGGTGCCAGGCTGTCCGATCTAGAATTGTGCTACTAAGTGAAGATCCAGGTAAGCTACAAGCCTTTCTGGATAGCTTGAGTGCTAGTGTAATCAGGTTCGGTGTGCGTTTTGCACCTTCAAAGTGTAAAATGTTACTAAAAGACTTGGTTGGCCCAGCACCCAGCCTCGCTCTAGCTGGGGAAGTAATAGAGCAGGTGAATGAGTTTTGTTATTTGGGCAACTGCATCTCACCTGGTGTACGAATCACCGACAAATTGTCAGCTTGCATACAGAAGACTTGGTTGGCATTTGCCAACCTGAGACATCTGTGGCGCCGTCGTGACATCCGGCTGTCTGTGAAGTTTCGAGTATATGCTGCAGTAGTTCGGCCAGTTCTGCTATGTGACGTAGAAACTTGGCCATTAAGAAAAACGATAAAGACAGACTATCGGTGTATGAACACCGCTGGTGGGGCAGCCGAACGAGCAATGCTGAGGTTAGGCGTAGAGTTTTAGTTATTCGCGGCCACCCACTGGAGCAAGTGGTCGACCTCCATGGATTACGTTAGTTGGAACATGTGTTACGCATGTCACCAGATAGGTTGCCGCGGCGAGCGATGTTCGCCGAGGCAGGCAGTGGGTGGAAGAAATCCCAGGGTGGTCAAACTAAGACCTGGCATGAGGGTATGTAAACCCTAACCAGGAGTTTGGGTCACATAGGTCCCATTAGGCTCCTCGGTTGGGGACCTCGGGATGAGCGTAACCGATGGTTGAAGACACTGAGCGATATAGCTGAGTGTCGTGAACAGTGGTGTTTGTACATCAATTCAATTTCTCTGCAACATTAGTCCACTGAAATTCTAAGTTTTCTCTTTGATCCTACTTTCAACCTTCCGGTTCTTTCGTCTAATGTTCATCCAAATGGGCAGCCAAAAGACAGTAACCAAAACGGACGCATCGTTAATGGTACAAACTAAACTGAACTGCTGTCCACATAGCATTACATGAGTCAGATGAAAAAACTGAACAAGAGATGTTGAGGTTCGACCAAGAATTTTAGATAATCGGGGTCGTTCACTGGTGCAATTATGAGGAAGCAACGAAAACTGGAGTGCTAAAGTGCGTGCCTAATGGTCATAAAATCAGAACTGAACAGATTGCAGGAAACAAAAAAACGCGACTTAACGATCAATGCGATGATTATCTTTGTCGTTTAATCATCACCATGCAAACCGATTCTATATATAAATTTGGGAAAATTAGCTAATTAGTACTCCGGCTACAGGTTCACCCGGTAAGAGTGGCAGGGGTTTCATAACATTTGTTCTTGATTTGGCCATAGAGTTCACACTGCTNTTCCATGATGACGGGAAAAGCATCGTTATGGAATGCCGCATTGTCTTGGTTCTATCGGTGATCTTTAACTTGCCTTGATCTGATACTATTAAACTCCTCACCCCCTCTTAACCCGTGCCCTCAAACTATTTTGCATCCAGCAAAACCCACCCCAATTCCCATCCCCGAGAATGCAAGTAGACAATGCTTCCGTTACTTCGTATTGTGCTCACATATGATTTTTGCGTAGTGATCTGAATGCTGACTTGGGATATCGTGGCGTATATTGGTCTCATTCTTTTTATGTTTTCCTCCTTCTCTCTGCATCTCCAATCTCTTATCCAATGCCACGTGGATTGGCATAAACACAGCCATTCTTGTCCGATGGAATCGAAATGTCCGTGCTGAGGGAGCCGCGCAGCAGTTCGGGTGGTCTGACACCAACCCACGTTAGTCTCGGTAAGTGAGACAGTAAGTTGGATTTGCTGTTGAGAAAGCATGAATAACTGAATAGGGACATACGCGATCGTATTATTCCCGAGCATTTTCAGTATGCAGAATGAATGCTCAAATCAATCAATCAATCAATCAATCAATCAATAAATCAATCAAACAATCAAGCAATCAATCATAGATAAAGGCAATGCTAACAAGCTGCTTTTCCTTGTTCTATTGGGATTTCATCACGGATGAATCAACCGTCCGAACAAGGAGAGATGAAAAATGCCAGATGCATGCATGAGAAATATCACATGACTTCTTTTTTTTATTTATTTTACTGAATGCTCAAATGTTAGACATGCCAATGATTTGTAATATATTTGCTTGAAAAAATAATTTTCGTGCGCACAAATAACTTGAGGTAACAGCGCATTCCAAATGCTGCACACTCCGAGGATAAAGTAATGACGAAGGGATTCAAGTCGACATTTTTGGAGCATTAACTTGAATGGATCTCCCATGTGGTGGATGTAGGGGGACAACCTGAGCAGTGGATTACGTGGACAATCGGAATTCTGCAGTAATTGATATACAAAAATTAAGTCTATTTGAAGTTGATGATAATGAGTGGAGTATAACTCTATGGGTTACTGTCTTTCCCAATAGTTCTTGGAATGCCCCTTGAACAACTTGGTGGTCATTCTTTGTGGAAGTTCCACAACTTTGCAATCGCGTTGCAGCCACGGATTATAGATTCGAATATCATGCTCAATGCATAATAAACTATAGATTGACGCGATTTAACATTATAGATGATATCCTTGAACAGTTTGTTGAACAACTTAAGTCGACTTAAATGATGACACCAGCTGTTGATGTTCGACGGGGTATGACATCTGATTTTCACGATATATTTCAATGATCATATATAGCACGATGCATGGGGTCCAATATTATTCTCAGAGAATAAATGATGAATCACGCTGAGTGTTCTCCGAGGTGAGCCCTTCGGCTTTTCCATCTGATCCTCGATGTGGCGTCCCCCGTGAACAACTTTCTTTGTGATACCAGAACGTCTTGCAGCTTGTTGATAAAAGAAAGAAAAAAACGAGGATCAAATACAGACCCCGTAGTAGATTTCCTTAGACAACTTTGATAACCCAAGACAGGAAAACAAAAACACGAACTGCCCTGCTATTTTGTCTAGGAAACACTTTGATTCAGTCCAGAAAGAGTGAATGGATGTGATAAATGTAGAACATTTGAGGTCGTTTCCGTGCTTCACGCGATAAAACACATTGGACAATCAATATACACTACATCCAATGCTTCACCTTGTGTACTCTGTCGGAGCAGGAATAAGTTAATGGTGCACGATCAGTTTTAGTGAAACCCGTGCTGGGATGGAAATGGTACGTTAAGGTTTCTCAAATGACCCATCACAACGCCTTTGGGTACTACGAGAAGGCAAGTGATCGATCCATAGTTATCCCATTCACTACCACAGCTGACCTTGTTAATTATTTGCGAAATGGCTCTTGGCTTTTATCACTGGGGAAGCAGTGTTTTCAATCAATGGTTGTAGCAGTTCACCTGATTGTGACTTGTGAAAGTGAAAGGAGTTTTCGGGATTTGCTTGGCATGAAGTGAGTTTATTTCCAAGGCTAGTTTCACTCTTATCTTTTGAGCAGCCTCTTTTGTTGTGATTGAAACACGCCTGGTCAAACCTGCCACTGGAAACCCAGACCATACTTTTCGGGAGTAGTTGCACAATAGATTTTCCTGGAATATAAAATTTTGAAACAGCCTTAGTTGGTTTCGCAGTAGCCTAACTATTCCACGTACGGCTACAAAGAAGCAGTTTATAAACTTTGCGGAAGAACTCCCTCTGCAACATTCACTTCTTCGTTCGACTAAAAATGGGGTATATTCTCACATTTGTTATTATCCTTATCAGATCTGCAAAGTGATTCACAAGTTCTTGACAGTATACCAAAGAATTATACTGTTGTTTGAGAAAAAGCATCGCATATCCTGTACCATGAATTGAAGTTTTGTATGGAGGTTCGTGCTGAAGGTGCGTAGCAAATGTAACAAATGTTTGACCACTATGATAGTGGTAGAACTTTATCATCGCTTCTTCGTTTTTCTAAGATCAGGTTCGAGATAAATGACTGATACCAAACTTGGCCATTGTCTCCACATGATTGAAAACTAGGTACGATTCAATAAACTGTGTGAATTTTCGCTCAAACAGTTGCAGGAAGGTCACTGATGAGGCCAAGTTAGAGCAATTGAAGTCAGCCATAATATTGCCATGCCTGAATTTCCACGACAGAATGGGATACATAGTTTGGGAGAAACGTCCGGGACTGGGTTTGTGGCTGATTCGGTCGATATCGTGTTGCAACATTCGTATTTCATACTGTAGTGAGTCAGTGCTGGTAGTAGGATGATTAATTAACTCTTATTGTAGTTTGCTGCTAAAATAAAGCATCGAACCACCACCACTCGTCGCATAGCGGGTCAGTGCAGTGTTGAGCTCAGAATGTCGGTCGTCGTCAAGTTTCGGCCACCATGATATTGTCCCATTGACTTGTTTAGAAACACAATTCCATCTATAAAATATTCCGAGGAAGCCCTAGAGATCGATAACATAAAATAAATTGTGGTCGACTGTTTCAAAGTAGTTCTTGGCCGAAGTCTACTAGTTGCATTGAAAAATACTAGCCGGATGATATGGTAGTGACGTTTTCTGCAGGAAAGCAATTCGAAATTCACTGACCTACCGGCGCATCGTTTAAAAAATCATAAAGTCGTTCTACTTTTTAATACTATTATAATTTCGCAGTTTATTTCTCTTGTTCATTTTATGGCCGTATGACAACAATAGCAATTTAGCTGTTGCTTATACGAGTAAACCATTTCTTTGACACGACGATAACAATTGAATTTGTTTTGAACGAAGAAAATCTTTCATAGTCAGAAATAAACAGATCAAAGAAATTGACAAGGACTAGCTGAATGATGTCTGTCTGTCTGTCTGTCACAACGTTTCATCAGGCGTGCTGATTACTCCGTTCAATCTCACCTCATTCTTCATTTTTACCTCCTCCTGTTGTTAAAAACAGATTCTCAGTTGGCTGGTACTAGTGAACCGAAGTCCGGAAGGCGAACCGCATTCCGTGGAATGCGTAAAATGTCCCCAGAAAAGATTGTGGAAAAGTAAGTGAACATGAACTTCGTGGATGCGTATACCCATACGTTTGTTTCCAAATAACCCGCAACCAGTAGGCCTTATCTAACATCTGTCAGAAAGATGTTACCGAACCGTCATTTGCGTACTCATCCATATTTAGCGTTAACCTGCTGTAGCAGAAATCTATATTCTAGGACTTTCAAATAAGATTATTGATTTTTTGCGAAAAGAGTAAAACGATCAAATAAGTAATGTCTGATAGTCAATGTGATCAGGAGGAAATTAATTATTCTACTATATCATTTCAAGCATTCATTTGACAAACTGTCGATTTGAATTGAAAACTATCATATCAGTTTGTGGTGTTATTCAATAACCTGTGTGAACATATTTACTTACATTTGACTCCTTCACTTACTTGTTTACACCTTGCACTCGGTTGAACTGTTTGATGAAGGATAATATACATGTGTATGCCTTAGGCACATTCCATTATCTTGTAGGAATTGACGGAACTCTTCACATGGGAAGGCCAAACAATTTTTGCAATCCAGTTGTCCAGATTAACTTGTGTACCAAACAGTGAGCGGCGAATACTTATTGCGATTCGCTTTAGATTCTATCCACTTGGCGCGGACGTCTTTTGTCACCATAATCAGATAAATGTTGACATAATCCACACAATCAACATGATTGTGTCACCAAGGTTTTGTTGGCTAAAGCAAATACAGAAGGTCTTAATAGCCTTGCTAGTGGGTGAAAATTACCCACTCGGACTAAGCTATTGCTGTCTTGATGAGTCTTCGGACACCAGATCCTCTCCAAGGACTTTATTCTAAAGATGACTGGATGTGTGTAATTTAGCTCCTTTAAGACCAGTTGACGCAGGGTGTGAGGAATATGATACCACTGCCCAAGAGCAAGTATATACGATGGAGACGGGGACCAGGTGTTATGCATACCATTTCACGGGTGCCGGTCTCAAATCTCATCCTGTTTCAGTTTTAACATGAATTTCTGGCACACTCTATAAATTGCACTAACTCTACTGGTAATTATGCCTCGCGTGGGTATACTGGTAGAAAAATCCATTCAACACATCCGTAAAGCGTGATCATTTCCCGACACGAAAGAGGTGGTGTAGCGGTAGGCAAACTGTTATGAGGCCCATTTCCGCATTCTGGGTGAAGTCATCTCCGATATCGGTTTCTATTCTCCTCGGAGGCCAACGAACGGTTCATCATTTGTGCGGACTATGTCCATATAAACAATAATCAAGGAGCATTTCATCAAAAACAACGGCCAAGGCTTCCTTATCCATCCGAGAGTAGTTCTTTTCTGGTTGGTTGATTGTTCGTGATGAAAACGTAACCGGATTCTCTTCTCCATCAGCAGCTTTTTGCGGCAATGTCGCTCCGATGCTATCTATATGAAGCTGCATTATGTCAAAGGATTCTTGGTTCGCCGAATTTGAAATTTCCCGGTTTATGAGTCAACATCTGTTCTACTCTTTGAAATGCTTCTCCTTCTTCTATTTCGATACTGACATTTCACTGTGTTTCACAAACTGATTTCACGTTGCTCGGAGAATGTGTTTACCCACGATCAAATCTGAACTCATCTTCACGAAAGTGATGTATCTGAGCAGCACCTTGGCGTAGTTTAACAAAGCAATAGAACATCTATCCTGTGGGGATACCGAATAATTGAGAAAATACATGTCATAGGGAGCTTATTACAGGTCCTAGACCCCGACTTCACAAAGATTCGACGAACGGACCTCTCATTCTGATAGTTCCAGCTGTGATTTCATTTGCGTAACACAAATCACACAGTTTTGTTCAAATGCTTCTTAGTTTTAATGATTTGCTCCATTTTCTCTCTCTCCCCCCCCCTTCTCCCCCATGTTCACCACAGTTTCTCATCTTTTTAACGGTTATTTGTTTCATTCACACCATTCGTGTAAGCTAACTGTATACACCAATTTGGACATAATTCTTCTGTGTGCAGATCCTCGATCGAGGCCACGCAACCGACAGCTGGGAAAACAAAACCAACGCGTGAAGCAGAGCCGGAATCAGATGCACCGCGCGGCAAATCTTCTGTATCAGAACACAGCCTGTCCTCATCTTCTGCGGATGCCACACACCACCCACATCCTGTTCATCCAGAGCGTCCATCAGTCACAGCAACCCCGGTCGAACCCAGCGACCCCCGTCAATTGCAAACACCTCGAGGAGATTCCGGTGGACGGAGGCGAATTGGAGCAAAAAAGAATTCCACATTTAGCTTAGGTTCCGGTGCGGCTGGCACAAACGCCTCCGGGATGCCAACCCCTGCATCGTTTGGTCAACCTTCAACGCAAGCAACCGTGTCACGCTCGGGCAGCTCGACAAATGTGGCCACAGCAGCTGCGACCGCTGCACTCACCACCGAGCGATGCCCTTGGTGTCACCAGATCCTCGAACGGTATGATGAATCAACGCTCGGTCTGGGCATGGTCTGTTTAGCCACATTTGTGCATCGGGAACCGAGTCTGGCAGCACCGTATCTGAGCGACATGTTGCTGACTGCCGCCCGATTGGCCAACGCATCACTTTACTCGTGGCAGTCGAATCTGTGAGTCACATGCAATTTTATTAGTCTGTACCTACTTTTATTGCTCTTTCCAATTTGAAATTTCTAACCGTTTTTCACTATTTGTCCTGCTACGGGATGGGCCTTCTCCCTCGTATGCTAGAACTATCCACGATGGGCCGGTTACGGGTGTACGGTACCAGATGGATCGTCTGACTTGATCAGTTAATTTATTCAAGGATTCCCCGTCAGTCTTGTCACAAACTGGAGCAGATAGTGTGTGATACATTTGTGGAATGGTTATGATATGGGTATTTGTTGTCACGCAAATTTAATTACTGCTATAATCAAATGCATGCTTTGCGTATGAGGTTCGTATTGAAACTGAAGGGATGCGCCGGGGAGACTCAAGGGCTTTACAGCTACAGAAGTTGTGATTATTTTATTATATGACTTACCTCATTGACGTTCCATTTGTAGCAGTTCAGGAGTCCGGATTACCGTGTGTAGAACACAGTGAGCAGCGAATATTTATTGCGATCTGTGTGGTTACATCTATGACCACTTTAGGTTAGTTCAAATTAATAAATATCAATTATCCCACATCACTAATCACAAATAACTGTGAGTTAAATGCGAATTCCATTCATACGTTTGTTTTTCTTACTTAATACTATTATTAGCCGAGACGAAGATTGTCATTTTAATGTGAGCTTAGTTAATGTCGTTGTTTTCCTCTGAAGAATCATTTGGATATGGAAACATTTCGACGATCCTGGTTTTAAATTTCATTTTATTGAATCTTTCATGGCAACTTTTGCCGGCGACAGTGATACCAGCGAGGTCTATTTAAGGTCATCGTATAAACCATGATTGATTTCACACTTATTTGTCTACTGACAAAAATTAAAGGTGTCTGTTTCAGAACACGGTTCTTATGGGCTCAAGGACGACTTTTCATTCGCGCAACGTGCGTGGTTGCATCGCTGTTCCTTGTGGTTCAACCGATTGTGCACTGACGTTACAAAGAAATAAGTCGGATCCCTTTTAAAAGCAAGAATATAGAAGTTTGAACCACTAGATGTATTTAGGATTTTCTCCAGCTTTCGACTGATCCACCAACCTGAATCGCGAGAGTATAGAATGATATTATCCGAATTTCGAAGGTTTATTTATTAGACGGGATCGAATAAGTAATAGGAACTCATGGATATTACCAAGGTCGATCAACGTCAGAGAAGGAGAGTTTAAAAAAATCAATCAGGTGGTTGACTCAGAAAAGTGAGGAAGTGATTCTGTTAAATAACATAATTATTGCGTAGGGAAAAGTTAGTCCATCAGAACCGTGTAGCAAAGAAATAAGTTCATTTTCTGTACAAATCTAAACGTGTTGTTGTTGTTGCGAATATTTGAAGCAGAATGAACTTTGAATTTCCACACAAGCACTTTTATTTGAACTAACAATCGGATCACATGTTTTTTCTCCTTACTTTTTCCCGTCCCCACAGGTCACATATAATCGTACCCGGAAACGTGTCCAGCATTGCACGGCAATTTTTGCGTTGTACCTTATACAATCTCGCACCCAATGGGCTATTTGTGCAACTGTTCCAAACACCTATTCCAGGTAGGTATTTTCTAAGAAAATATGATCGAGTGTGACCAGGTGTTGATTTTCCTATTGCTATATTGTGATATGCTAGATCCGAACTACTGTAATAAAATGGGGTAATAGGATCATACCTGTCAATTGGCAATTCAGTTAGTATTGGAATTAACTGCTACATAACATGCATGATCCTTTCTCAGTTTAAACTCTATCCCTATTTTTCCCTTGGAAATATAGACGAACAGTTCTTCAAATGCATCATCAGCGTCCTGATCGATTTCGAGGACCACATGTCTTTTTTCCAACCGATTTTGTTACTGCTGGAAGCTTTGAACAAGAGAAAATCGTTACCAAATGATACGATGCCCGTACTTTTGAACAATCTGGCCAGCTACTTGGAATATCTGCCAAATTTAACGGATGATGTGAAAACCAATCACTTTCTCGCTGCCGGGTGGGCTGATATTATTGGACCGTTGGAGATGTTCCTGCGCAAACTACCTACAGTTACTCCGGTGCCGGTAAATGTTGCGGCTACAGTGCGTATTATGACCTACATTCTTCGGTCGCCGGTAGCTTCTAATTTTAAGGTAGGTTAACACTGGAGATAATGTCTAAAAGCGCTCATCTAACCAGTAAATGCATACCCGCGCAAATTGCATGCAGGATCATTCTACAATTCGTGTTTAACTACTCATTAGTAGCATGTTGTGAATCCTCAGAGTAAACAAAATCTTTTTTGAACCGGATTTTGACCTACGGGTAAAACGATGCTCGATAACTGTATCATTCAGTTTATGTTCTTTAGTTTACCAACGTAACCGTATATTATGAAAACATGTATCTTTGTTGAATTGAGGCCTTTTTCGATTGCACCTATGTAACGACAAGTCCATTACACTCCACTATGCAATATTTTAGACATACTTTTATCTACCTTATCATATGCTTCTTGTGTGCACCATCGAGTAAAAATGCTCTCGTCATCTGTAATTTCCTCTCGAATTAGATCTTTAAAGTACAAATTAAAATATTTAAGGCTGGTTACGTGTAGTTGAATCTAGTTTTTCGTTGGAGATGAGTCCTCCTTGTATGACCTTGGTTCACAAGCACCACGTGCAGCGCGTTATGCAATTCACTTTCTCAATCTGTCATCCCTTCTGCCCATTTAGACCCTTCCAGACACTTTTGCTGCCGTCCTTCGTCTTGTTGTGGAAAATGTTCACTTCAAACTGTCAAGTGTGATAGAGCTTTGCTCATTGAGCAACCGAACTTTAAAGGTAAGTCTATTGTGTTTGGAATTTTGGGTGATCGGTCTCACTCTGATTGTCTTTGTGGGGCATTTTCAATGTTTGTTCGCCGTTGATTGTGCTAGATTCCATAGATTTTGTTTGTTGCTCAGCGAGGGAAACACTTTGATGACATCTTGAGGCACGTATTGTGCAAAACTAGTCTCTTGGCGGTTGCAAATTGAAGGCATTTGTCTCATATAACTAACGATGCTCAAAACATATCTTATTTTCTGCACGACGCGGTGAATTGATGACAGAAGTGGCAGTTCGTGCCGCGTAAGTCTCCTCGAGAGGATTCGAGCAAGGAATTTTTCGGTTCGAATCTGACCCAGACCGGTGTGCTTGTGAATTCGTCTGGAATTCACAATGTCCGTGTTAGGTAAAAAGACTATTTTTACCTAAAACTGCCTATTTTCGAGTATTTTCAATTAGGAGCATCTCGAATCAATACTAATCTCGCGGAGATTAATCAATGATATTGCGTCATACAGAAACACTCACTCCGTCCATCTGATCCGTGACCTATGACCGATTGAACTTCGCTGACTGTGTACTTGATTGACACAATCTTTTTCTTGCATTAAACGCTATTGTGGGTCATATATAAGCATCAGAGTAAAACTTGTAGATTGACTTGCTTCCTGTGTGGCAAGTACACGTTCGCTGTGCACTATCTGTGTTCTTGCTGGTAGCTGGGAGAAGGCTACTAGTGATCGTGGCGTCCAATCTGTGCTGTGATCGTACTCGTGGGGCCGTTGAGGTACGTGTGCTCCTTGTGTGTCATCGTGTGATATCTTGTTGTGCGTACACTGTGATCAATCGGGATTCGGACACAACAGTCGGAGAGACTGAATAGTCAACTGAAGGTCCAGTATGCTTGACTATGGAGGAGACGGGGCGATTGGTTGACAACTGGAGACTGTGGCGAACACATTATGGAGACTTTCGTACCCTGACAGCGATGGACCGCGAATCCAGGCCCGTACAATTGGCTTTGTTCCGTCACACGATTGGTCCGGCTGCTCTGCGTGCCATAAATGGATTCACTTACAGTCCGGATGAGGACCGTGGAGATTGGCAGGTGGTGATGGCGAAGATGGAGCGGTACTGTCTTGACGAATCTAACGAGATTTACGAACGATATCTTTTCAACCAGAGGAGACAGCAGCATGGTGAGTTCTATCGCTAAAATCACTGGCTCGGTCGTGCAATTGCTGTGCCTGTTTAGAAGAGAGTCTAATAAGTGATCGAATCGTCGTTGACCTACGGGATTCAGCTGTAGTGAAGCGCCTCCTAAAATGTCCAAAGCTGACATTGAAACAATGCTTCGACATATGTCAGAGTGAAGAGGCAGCAGAAAAGCATATGAAGACGCTTACCACAACGGAGGATTATGGATTGTACAAAATTGCCGCTGGAAATCGAACACATCCAACAGCTGCTTGTCATTTATGTGGCGGCATACATCTTATGGGAAGAAGCAACTGTCCTGCTTGGGGAAAAAGTGTGATAACTGCAAAAAGCGTAATTATTTTGCAGCTAAGTGTTTCGGGAAGAAATAATCAACTTTAGAACCTCACGTTCAAGCAGCTGATCGTGTCAGTGGTGTGCAACTACCGACCAAACGGAAAGGCATATTTACAAAAATGTTGGTGAATGGAGAATAAGTAAGGTTCCAACTAGATTCTAGTGCGTCTGTCAACATAATACTGAGAAATTGCTTACCCGATACCAAATTGGACCCTACCCAGACGAGATTGGTTATGTGGAACGGTACAAACCTGGAGCCGAAAGGAGAAACTTCTATTACAGGCAAGAATCCTATAAACGGAGTCTCTTCTGTCGTGCGTTTTGTCGTCGTGGGGCCGGGTTATGTTCCAGTCCTTGGATACGAGTCCATCGAGCGACTTGGTTTGGTATCGTTTAACTATGATTCATTTGTTCATCACGTTTGTAAAGACACTGAATACTACCTGAAAAAGTATGCCTCTGTTTTCGATGGAAAACTGGGAAAATTGCCAGGACACTTCACATAAACGACGCAATCGAGCCCGTTGTTGTACCAACGCGGCGGATCCCGCTTGCTGTTTGAGAGGAAGTTTCGTGTGAAGTGAATAAACTTATCACAAAAGAAACATTATTAGACCCGGAATTTTCATCATGCCTTGGAACTGACTGACTTGGATTGTCAAAGCGAATTTGGTCCACATGTCTTTTGTGTATAGACAAATCATCCTTATCAAGTTGTTGGAGCATTCTTCGACCTAAAGACTTTGGGATAATTCCTGAGGAGGGTCTTAGATCATTGCCACGGAAAAATACAACTTCAGAAGAATTAATATACAATAAATTGGATATCAGATTTCGACCTTTTGAAAGTTTAGCAGGTGTCTCTTTAGTGGATGAATGAACAGAATTACGATATTGTAAAAGAAACAAATCAACACCTCTTTCAAGTTCAGAAAATGTGGATGGATTCAAAGCAGTAATAGCACTTTCAAGTGTTCTAACAAACTTCTTTGCTTGTCCATTGGAGCAGGGATGTCTGGGCGCAGTAAAATTATGTTTGTAGCCAATGCGGTGCAGCCATTCTGAAATACTTTTTGCGGAGAAGTGACTACCATTATCAGTAACAAGTAAAGCAGAAATACCTTCCCAACTGAAAACTTTACGCAAAGCATGAATGGTAAAATCTGATGGAGACTTAGTAAAACATACCTCTGACCACTTGGAGAAGGAATCAATGACAACAAGAGCATGCATTCCATTGAGAAATGGACCACAATAATCCGCATGAACACGTTGCCACGCCTCAGTTGAAACAGGCCACGGAATGGATGGCAACTGTCAAACTTTGTTGTAGCATTTAGAGCAGCTCTTTGCTTTGGAACATATGTC